TTTTATACTGAGGCTTTAAGTTGCTTTTTTTATTGTCCTAGTTGTCTTTGATACTCCAGATAAGCTTGTGTTTCCTAGAATGGCAGTTTTGGGAGGACAGGTATATATAAGTAGGTATAGTGGTGTAGAGTTCACATTCCAATTTTTGCTTCAACTCCTGTTTATCTTGATGCATTGCAGGGTGGTGGCCTTGTCCATGTCACCTGTGGATGACACTTTCATTTCTGGGTCTCTTGATAAGACCATTCGACTCTGGGATCTCCGGTCTCCTAACTGCCAGGTAATGGTACCTCACAGTTATACTTTTTGAGCATTTTCTGTGGAAGGCATTATTAACTTTCCCTCTAAAGGAGGGGGGAGAGCAGTAGTTCATTCTGGGATCCCAGAGTCTCCTTAAATGTCAAAGCAAACCTCTCTTCTGGTAGGCTGCTGCTTGGTTAGCAGCAAATACCCTACTCTAGCACAGATTGCATTCACTCCATGACACAGTGTTTTAAAAAATTTTCCTAGAGCCTTTGAGCTATGGTTTTTAGCCTCAGGGGATTTGTTTCTACTCGAACTCTTGTCTATAATTTTCTATAGTTAGGGTTGATCAGAAATCTATTATTATTTGATGACTTCCTTTTTAAAAGCTTCATTTTAGTCAAATTTTTGTTTGCTTTTTCTGTTCTATAGGCAGAACAGGTATCTGTTCTTAGCCCTTTCTTAGTTTTCATTGGGAAAAGTAAAGTATGTAGTGATGAAATCTGTATTTGTTAACTTTTTGTCATATTTCTTTTCTCTTAGGGCCTCATGCATCTACAAGGCAAGCCAGTTTGTTCTTTTGATCCAGAAGGATTAATTTTTGCTGCAGGTGTCAACTCTGAAATGGTCAAACTTTATGACCTTCGTTCTTTTGATAAGGTAATTCTTTGACACTCTTTGACTCTTTTTGTTTTTTGGTTTTTTTTTTTTTTTTTTTTTTTTTGCGGTACTGGAGGTTGAACTCAGGGCCTTGTGCTTACTAGGCAGGCGCTTTACCACTTGAGCCACACAATTCCAGCTGCCTTTGTGCTATCTTGATGTTTGGAAGTTTTAAGGGTGAGGTGAACATTTAAAAGCATTTTTTTGTAGTAGAGGAAGTATATAGTACATTTTAGAGAGTAACAGAGCACTAGTCCATCCACTCTGATTTTCCACTCAAAAAGGAATATGGAGCCAGGTGCCAGTGGCTCACACTTAAAATCCCAGCTACTCAGGAGCAGAGATGGTAGGAATCACTGTTCAACTGAGGCAGGAAGTTACTGAGACCCTATCTCAACCAATACCTGAGCATGGTAGTGTATCGCTATGATTTCAGCCACATGGGAGGTATGAATAGGAGGATCACAGTCCAAGCTAACCTAGGCAAAAACATGAGACTATCTCAGAATTAACTAAAGGACTTAGGGGCATGGCTCAAGTGGTAGAGTGCCTGCCTAGCAAGCATGAGGCCCTGTGTCCAACCCCAGTACCATCAAAAATAAAAAAAAGGGAATCTAAAGGGCTAGACTAGGAACTGGCTCTGTCAGAGAAATTATTTATGTACCTTGAATGGGGCAACTTTTTTATCTCTTTCAGGGACCATTTGCAACCTTTAAGATGCAGTATGATCGGACTTGTGAGTGGACAGGACTTAAATTCAGCAATGATGGTAAACTCATACTCATCTCCACAAATGGCAGCTTCATCCGTCTCATCGATGCATTCAAGGGAGTGGTGATGCACACGTTTGGGGTGAGCTTGTCGGCCTTGAGCATAGCTGTTTCCATGCCCATACCTCCTGGGCTGAGAGTTGGGTTAGCTGGATGATCAATACCTATCCTTGACTTAATGATCAAGATATGGGCTTGCAATTTCTTGCACATGAACTTACTTCCTTTGGATTCTGAGACATTCACTTCTCACTAAGTGACCCAAGTTTTTATTTTATTTTTTTTTATTTTAATTTTTATTTTTGGTGGGACTGGGGTTTGAACTCTGTGTTCCAGCTTGCAAAGCAGGTGCTCTTCTGCTTGAGCCACATCTCCTGCCCATAAAATTATTCTTAAAAATAAAATAGTTTTGCTCCCCTGAATGTGGAGTTGAGGGTTGGAAATGAACTGTGAAGGGTGGGAGTCACATTTGGAACCTTGGTAGCATTGTGCTTGACAAAGAGTTTTATGGAAAAGTAAGAGATGCATGTGCTGGGTTGGAATTTTTATTAGTGGCCCTATAACAAGAGAACTGGTCTGTTTCATTTTAGGGTTATGCCAACAGCAAAGCTGTCACACTGGAGGCTTCATTTACTCCAGACTCTCAGTTTATTATGATCGGTGAGCTTCCTTATGTCCCTCAGGGTTGTTTCTCTGGTACTGTGCGTTTGTTTGTTCAAGTTATTAAGCAGACTGAGATAGTCCCTGTTTAAGAGATGCTTTCAAGTTTCTGTATGACACATCATGCCAGTAGTATAGCATCTTTAAATCAACTTGACTTTGGAGTTTTTTTGTTTGCTTTTTTGTTGGACAGGGATTTGAACTCAGGGCTTCATGCTTGCAAAGTCAGCATGCTACCACTTGAGCCACACCTCCAGCCCATTTTGCTCTGGTTGTTTTTGGAGCTGGGAGGTCTCAAGAACTATTTGCTTGGGCTGGCCTGGAATCATGATCCTTCTGATTCCAGCCTCCCAAGTAGCTAGGATTACAGGCATGCACCACAAGCACTAGGCTTGGAGTTCTTCTTTACTGGAAGTGGCTTTATTCCTGGATTAGTATTAGGGTTAAACTCTAAAATCACTACCTTATTAGCATTTCTAATGTCTTGATGTAATCCTGCATTCAGTTATCTCAGTGGCTCTATGTTGGTAAGCTAATGTCATTCAGCCCCTTTTGTAGATGAGAAAAGATAGAGAGGCATGGCTGTACACTCCTCTAACCACAACACTGGGAGGCAGAAGCAGGCTAGCCTGGGCTACATAATAAGATCATGAAAAGGGAGAAGGGGGTGGGAGGTGTATGACTTGCCCAGGACCAAGATCAGTTCCCAAAGTGTCCTTCCCTCACTGTCTCCTCTCTCTGTTTCTTCTGAGGATTGGTGTGAACATTGCCTGTCTCCAGACCTTAATCTGTATTTCTTTCTCTTACTTGTCTTTGTTTTGAGCTATTACATTTTCTTAAACGTTCTCTTTAGGTTCAGAGGATGGCAAGATCCATGTCTGGAATGGAGAGAGTGGTATAAAAGTAGCTGTATTGGATGGTAAACACACAGGCCCCATTACCTGTTTGCAGTTCAACCCCAAGTTCATGACATTTGCCAGCGCATGTTCTAACATGGTATGTGAACAGTTGAAGTTGTCTTCCACATGGGTGCCCCTCTCCAGTTGAGGTCAATGAGTTTAATCAGTTGTGTTGTACTTAGGTCTAGGCAACCATGT